TGATGGTTGATCCAAGAAGACTGAAACCTTTGACAACTTCAATCTTTTCTCTGTTGATAAGAATGTTGTTTATTGGTCCAGTGGTGAGGATTTTTTTTTTTTTTTTTTTACATTGAGATACAATCCATACCAAAGGCTGTGTTTTTAATATTCATCAGTATGTAGTTTAAGTCCTCTTCACTTTCAGCAAGCAAGGTTGTATCATCTGCATATCGCAGGTTGTGAATGAGTCTTCCTCCAATCCTGATGCCATGGTTTTCTTCATATAACCCAGCTTCTCGGATTATTTGCTCAGTACACAGATTGAATAAATATAGTGAAAGAATACAACCCTTTTGCACACCGTTCTTAATTTTAAACCATTCAGTGTTCCCATGTTCTGTTTGAACAACTGCCTCTTGGTCCATGTACAGCTTCCTCATGAACACAATTAAGTGTTACGGAATACTCATACTTCACAATGCTTTCCATAGCTTATCATGATCCACACAATCGAATGCTTTTGTGTTGTCAATAAAGCACAGGTAAACATCTTTCTGATATTCTCTGCTTTCAACCAATATCTATCAGACATCAGCAATGATATCCCTCATTCCACACCTCTTCTGAATCCAGCTTGAACCTCTGGAAGTTCTCTGTCAATATATGATTGTAGCTGTTTCTGTATTAGCTTTGGTAAAACTTTACTTGCATGGAATATCAAAGATAATGTCCAATGACTTCCACATTCCGTTGGGTCACCTCTCTTTGGAATGGGCACAAATACGGATCTCTTTTAATCAGTTGGCCAGATTGTTGTCATCCAAATTTCTTGGCAGAGATAAGAGAGTGCCTCCTGTGCTGCCTCACTTTCTTGACAGATCTCAATTTTTATTCCATCAATTCCTGGTGCCTTGTTCTTTGCTAATTCCTTCAATGCACCTTGGACTTCCTTCTTCAGTATGCTTGATCATATGCTACCTCTTGAAACAGATGACTGTAACCATTTCCTTTTGGTACAGTGACTCTGTGTATTCCTTCCATCTTATTTTGATACTTTCTGCATCATTCAATAATTTGCCCAGAGAATCCTTCAATAACAAAAGTCAATGCTTGAATTTTTTTCTTAAGTTCCCCCAGCTTGAGATATGCTGAGCATACTCTTCCCTTTTGGTTTTCTGACTTCAGATCTTTGCACATTTCATTGTAATATTTGACTGTGTCTTTTCAAGCAGATCTTTGAAAATCTCTGTTCGGCTCTTGGGCCTCCTCATTTCTTCCATTTGTTTTAGCATCTCTACACTGGAGAGCTAGTTTCAGTGTCTCTTCTGACATCCATTTTGACCTTTTCCTTCTTTCTTGACTTTTTGCTTTCTTCCTATATGATGTTCTTGATGTCATCTCACAAGTCTTCTGGTCTTCGGTCTTCAGTGTTTATTGTATCAAATCTGTTCTTCAGATGATCTCTAAATTCAGGTGGGATATATTCAAGGTCATATTTTGGCTCTCGTGGACTTGTTTTCATTTTCTTCAGCTTCAGTCTTAATTTGCATATGAGTAATTGATGGTCTGTTTTCCAAATGCCCCTGGCCTTGTTTTTGCTGATGATATAGAGCTCTTCCATCATCTCATTCCACAGATGTAGTAGTTAATTTGATTTCTGTGTATTCCATCTGGTGAGGTCCATTTGTATATTCGTCTCTTATGCTGTCTAAAGAAGGTATTTGAAATGAACAAATCCTCCATCATTATATCTGACAATTTTCTGGTGCTCTTCATCATGTTTCAATATTCAATATCCTGGTGCTATTTGACAGTGTTCCACTGCTATTCATAAGGTTTTCAGTGACTAAATATTTAGAAGTAGTCTGTCTGTCATTCTTCCTAGTCTGGAAGCTCAGCTGAAACCTGTCCATCATGGGCAACTCTGCTGGTGTTCAAAAGAGAGGTTGGTCTAGCTTTCAGTACCATAGAAACAAGTAAACCTGCACAGTCTGACCAACTGACAGAGAAGTGGTGGTTTTCTATGTATTTGAAAAGTCAGTTTAGTGCTTTGGTTCAGCCTGGTGGCTCATGGGGTAGTGCCTGGGATCTAAAAAGCTTGCAAGCAGTCAACCAAGCACAGCAGTTGGTTTCTTTTCAACTGGAGTAACAAAGGAAAAAGGAAAGTTGGGAAGAGGAGAATATGGAATATGGGTCTGATTCCCTCCATGAACAACTAACTACCTACTTTGCATGGTTCCATGGAGCTCTGGTAGCGTAGTGGTTACGAATCGGGCTGCAAACCACAAGGTCAGCCCTTCGAAACTACCAGCTGCTCTGTGGGAGAAAGATGAGGCATTCTGCTCCCATGAAGATTTACAGCCTTGGAAACCCTGTACAGGGGCGCTATGAGTCGGAACCGACTCCACGGCACGTAACAACAACAACATGTTACCATTACTGAATATTTTGATGAAAGACTCTTTAGAAGAGTCCTGATCAAAGAAAGAAAATACAGAATAGAATTTTAAAACCTCATGGAATCCAGGCATTCTGGAGTCATGGAGGCTAGATGAATCGCTAAAACTATTGTCTAGAAAGAATCTTTAAACCTTAAACTAAAAATAGCTCCTGAAGCTTTCTCAAAACCGAGCATACTTGTACAGAATGTCTACTGTGAGTATGGTGCTCCATTTGGGATCCCAATTAGATAGGAAACTAGAGGCCTGTGAGTTCCTGTTACTGGAGGAGGAACAACTCAGACAAAGAGAGTAGGAGTGACTGCTCAACTGAAGAACATATGCGGTCAATGTCACCAAAATGTACATGTAGAAACTTGATCTGGATTGGATTAGATAGGAAACTAGAGGGAGAACATACCTAGTCAATGTCACCAAAATGTACATGTGGAAACTTGATGTGGGTTATGTTGTTGTGTCTGTTCAACATCAACAAAATAAAACATATTTTTTGAAAAGCCAATTTGA